ATTCGAATACACATAAAAAAATTGGATATATATATTTGTTTTCAATTATTAATTCTGTTTGTAATACAAATTTTTTAATAATGTACAATTACATTTTAAGAAAAATTATAAAATTTTTTTACTTCATACATACGTAGAAAAAAATTACATATAATTTATGAAAATTAAACACTAATCTTCAAGTTTTTTTTATTTTTTCAAGTAAAGATTTAATATACTAACACAATTTACTGTTATATACTATTACCACATACATGTTTTCACAATACGTTTTATGTGAGCGCATACATTGAAAGCTATTTATTTATCATTTACTTATTTATGAAGGTATTAACAAATTTTTATGAAAATTATTTGTAAACATTATAGGCATTATTATGCAATAAAATATTTAATATTTATACATTTAGAAATTTGACATAAAATTTAATTTTTAATTCAATAAGAATAATTTAATAAAATAAAATAAGACTATTTTATTTAAAAAAATAAACATTCATTATAATATAAAATTGTTAAAAATTTGAAAAAATAATTAATTTAAATAATATTTTTATATAACACAAATAAAAAAAAGTAATAGGTTAAAAAATAATATACGTATTGTACATAGAATATTAAAATAATGTATAATGTACATAGAACATTAAAGTAATAACATTGTATGTATACGTACATAATAATATATAATTAATATAACTTTTTAAAATTATTTGGAAAAGTTAACTCACAAAAAAACATAGTATTACATTATTAAGAAGAGAGAGAGAATTGGAGATAAGAAATATAATATACTATTGCATACAAGTAATGTGATACTGCAAGGACCGTTAAATTTGATACTGTTTGCTTTTACAAATTTGCATTAGTTTTTATTTAATTTGTTATGATTTTCTGTAAAAATAAATCAACTATCATTCATTGCATTTATTTATTCCATCTTAAGATATTTATTGTGATATAAAATTGTTCGATAAGAAACATAGATAAAAATTATAAATTATGAACTCAGGTGGCTTTCCTTTATAAGAGTTTAATAAATTTCAAGGCTGAGACCGGATTAACCACTGACTATCAAACTATATGTGATACTTTCCAGATAACAAAAAACTTATGTAGATTACGCCGGTTAACAAACACAAGTGCTAGCCTTCAACGTTTCTACATCGGTCGTGATTATGCAATGCACATAAATCTCATTCATTTTCACGCGCACACACATACATGTATATACGTAGATTATAATATATTTTACCTGAATTAAATTTCACTTCCTGATTAAAGATCAAAATCTATTATGAGGCATTCGAACATCGTGTACATGTAGAAGTCTCGTAACATTCTTCGTGAAACATCGTTTATCCGTGAGAAACTCATTGAATTGCGTGTTCACTAGATTGTCTGATTGGGAAAAGGTTCTCCAAACGGGCGCCAATCTATTCGAAAGCGAATGGAACCTTGACCTGTCTGTATACTAAAACTTATAGAATATACAGATATGTTTCCCTCACAACAGTTGTTTTCTAACAAAGTGTAAGCGGTATCTTCTGACGATACATGTGATCTAATCATAGTATTGTGCACGATGCATCCTCTCATGCATTGAAGCGATTAAGGCCTTGTTTAAGTCACGTGCTAACTATTTATCGTACAATATTTCAATAGTCGCAATCGATTCAATTTGAAGCTTACATACAACACATTATCCAAACATTTAGTCAGTTAATTTAAAGGACACGTGATCAATTTTGCATACCAAAAATATTATCAATTGCTTGAAGATTAACCTTTGATCGCTAATATTAACGAAGAGAAAAGGCTTTGTGCCAACTACTCATTGTCTCAAATAATCAGGAGACGCAGTAGTCTCCAGCCATGTTCAAAAACTGAATACTTTTATTAATGATGTTTTCCTTTTGTACAATAATTCTAGTAAGTATTAATTTTGCTCCTTTATAAAATTTAAAATTAAAAAAAAATATGGTAGAAAAGTATAACACCTTTGAACATATTTAAAAATATACTAATTGAGTAAATCGTTTCTTCTTTAAAAGTATAATCTATAATAATTTGCAGCGTAAAGAGCTATACACACTTAATGCACTGAGAAGTGCATTAAGTTGCACAAGGTATAAATGTTAATTATAAGAGTTAAACTAATATGTAGATAAATAAATGTGCCTATTATTTGTTATTTCACTACTTTGTATTAAAAAAATCAATTTTATGTCTGTATTTTTCTATAATTTAACAAAAGTATAATTTGTTTAGGTATAAAATACATTTTCATCAACAACATAATAAAGAACAGTTTGGCATTGTGAAATTTAAGATCCAGGACACTCATGTGAATCATTATTTTAATATTTATGTGATATTATATGAATTTTAATTAAATATAGGAAGTGCTTTTTTATTATATAAAACTCTTGTACAGATTTTATTAAAGATATCGATTATCTGTATCATTTTATTCATATATCAATATCTACATAAGACCACAGCACACACTTTTGCATGACACATAAGAGAATCAACCAAACAAAATGCTTCTCTTCCGTGAAGTGAGAGAAAAAGGATTATGATTTGTTGATTCTCTTATGCATCATGCAAAAGTGTGTGCTGTGGCTATTATATATTTAATATATGTATAATATTATACATCTTGATATAATAGCATAACAATTTCAATATCTTCATATGTATATTTATATTATATCAACTATATCTGTATGTATTATATCTACAGTATAATACTAAGTCACTCACGTGTCTTTCTTTCTCCAAAATATTTTATCGAAACACTTTTATCATGTTGACATGTATTTTTATCTCTTAGCAAAAACTATTATAGTTAAGGTAAATATCCTTTAAGTTTACATAACATTTCTAAAATAAATCACATGAGCAATATATAATGTAATCATCAAGAGGTTTGTTAAAACTAAATAGCTATTATTTTATTTGAATAAATTGTTTTACAAATATATAGAATAAAATAAATTAAACCATTGATATATTTTCAAAGTGATGACTACCCGAATGAATTTATATAATAATCAAGGAACACTTTACTTTTGAAGAATTTCTTTTCAAATAGAAACGACTATCAGGCCATGATTTTCTGAACAATAGCATTGAGCCAATTAATTAGGTTTTCAACTTTTTGCGTTTGTTTCTACAAGTTATAAACATAAGTATAGGTACTCTTTTTGTGCACCATGCTAATGATAACAATTTCTTCTGCATAGTTTTATTTTTATTTTTAATAGACAGAAAATAACAACTATTAGTTCCGACATTTTTAAGTACCTACTTCTACTTATCTTTTTATAAAAAAAAACAGATAAAATAAATAATTAAAAAAATAGCAATACAACTCACTTTATTATATTAAGGGGCCTATTTTGTAGTAACTTATATTGGAATTACTGCAACTGTATATTATATACAGAATAGAATCCTTAAAAACTTACGAAGAGCTGATCTGGGCGAATTTCGTTGAAATATGTTACAATATTCGTGGTTTGAAGCACAAAGAATATTTACATTCCACATGTATTTCAGATGTAATAAACGTATATACAAAACTTAGAAAATTTTTCTTGTTATCTTACAAATTTTTACTATTAAGAAAAACTGTTAAGTTATTAGTGTTACGAATTAGAACACACATCGGTAATTATCTCAACCGGCACTTGCCACGACGATATCGATGACACGGTACACAGTACACACGGGCACGACGGCATTTACAGTTTGTCAACGACACAGAGTTGCCAACTACAATGAATGAAAAGTAACTAGCGTCGGCATTCAGTATGTATACTTTTATTATATCACCCACAGTAGCAACTCGAATATGATTGGTTATAATTTTTGAATTCAACCAATCACATTCAGTTGCTATTTAGCTGCGTCACATAAGAGAAGGTTGCACCACACGACACGCAGAATTTCTAGTAATCTACACAGGCGATCTAGCGTGAAAAGTCGTAATGTTGTTGTATGCGGCAGATTTTACGCCGATGAAAAACTCTACAGAAGACTCCTCTCTTCAACAGCCAATCAGCGCACTTGGTAAGTAGCTAGGTAACTAACAGAGGAATTTTTGAAATTTCCTTACGGCAATTCTGTTTATGGCGTCCGTATCGTCTGTATCTGTATCAGGGCAGGGGCAACATTCTTTCTGGTTCTACTGGGCGCTGCTTAATTCGACGTTGAATCGCCTCGGTGAATATTGCAAGCTGGCAAGGTGAGAGATTATTCTCTTATTGTAATTACTTTGGTCTACAATTTCGTGTGCCTTCGGCACACCAGTTCGCATTGTGTAACGTAAATTCTATCCTTTTCAAAATTCGCAAATACTGGCGGATAGCCTATATGCGTATTGAACGATAATATTACCTGTTTATGTTTACGTTGGAAAACAACATTAGAAGCCGATTACACGAGAATCTGTGTAGAAAGTAGGTCAGTTATAAGGGCTTGGCAGAAAGTTTTTAGAATTTGTTTGTTTTCAATCCACGGAAGAGGTGACTGGTCTAATATTATTCAGATTTCTTGCCTTTATTCTCCATGCTTTGCTATCGTACTAACAGTATTTTGTCATCTTTTGTGGCTGAATTATTTTTTCTTCTAATTCTTATTTAATATATAGCTTAAACCATAGACACTCATAAATACCATATTTATAATAGAATTTGTTTCTTTAATACTATATAAAATTCTGAGTTACTCTATAAGTTTTTAGAAACTGTTTTGAGCTAACTAAATTATGAGAAATATGGATGATAGTTGAATGCTGCATTAAAAATAATGTAGACTTAAATAATTAATAATTTTTACTTCATTATTATTACAAGTTATCTTTATAACCTACAATATATAACCAAAATATTTTTTTAAGCATACTTTGTAAAGGCATCTTAAAAAATATGTATTTAAATTTAAGCATTGCATAAGTATTTAGTCTTATGAATATATTTGTGATAGGTATAATGGATTACGCTGTTGAAAATTTAGAAAAGACTTCCGACATAGAGCGGAAAGCAACACTCAGCAAGCTACATAATATGCAATGGCTGAAAAATACATCTTATTCAGCAAATCCGTATGTTTTAACCCTTATTTCTTTGTTTTAGTACATATTTTTGCATTGTATATCACCATATAGTTTTGTCTTTATAAAATTAATTTTTTTATGTCAAGCAAATTATCAACAATTTGGTTTTTTATGTTAATCTTCTGTTAGCATATATTGCAATTGTAATGTTGCTAATAAACAATCTTGTGCAATATGATAGAAAAAGAAACTTTTGCCTTATGCGTTATATGAGTATATAGTGTTATATTTGAAATATGTTGTAAGATAATTATACAAGTTATATAAATTATATACTTTATAACATATTTATATGCATGTGCAGGATATTTCAGAATGTCACTTTTAGCTATAAATATTGGAGTATAGTACTGGAGCATTTTATTTTGGAACATTTAAGTTAATACAAAATAGACTTAGAAAATGTTAATAAATAAAATTTTCTCTATATTTATTACACTGAATATTTAACATGCCATCTATAGCTCTGAAATAGCTATAGATGGACCTATGTACATTTTCTGTAATTTATATTAATATATGTATTTTTATCTAAATTTTTACTATCTGATATATAAGGAGATGGATTAAAGGTACATTTGGTAAAATTGTATCTGTATTGTGCTTAAAAAGTATTTTTATATTGACTTTTTATTGCAGTGACAAGATAAAAGCTGTTGTCTATAAGCAAATACAAAATCAAGATGAGGAAAAGAAAATAGAAGATAAAGTTACAGAACTAGCTGAAACTATCAAGATACATGCAGTTAAAGAACCTGATAAATATTCTTCATTGAACAATATGCTTCAAACAAATTTATTTAATGATACAATGCCAGAAAAAGATGAGAATATTTGGAACAAAGATATAGATACAGCCAATCTATTTACAAATGCTGATAACCTAACTGATCAAAAGAATGAAGAAGATATGTTAAGTATTGTGGAAAGTATTGTAACAGCAAAGCTAGAGGCTGAGTTTTGTATAACCAAGGAACATAAAGATCAATCAAATGTATCGGAGAATAATACTAAAGATATACAGTAAGTATAAAGATAAATTTTAACTTATTTATTATCAATATGTTACTTCTATTATATTTTGTATTTATGATAAATTAGGGACACAATATGTACAAATCTTTCCGAGTCACAAAAAATTAATGAAAACACAAAAGAGTTGAAATTAATAAAACATTCTGATGGTAATAATAATAATGATTCCAAATCAGTGACGTTATGTATGTCAAAAGTAAACGATGAACAAAATTCAACTTACAAAATAGCTGGTGTACAAAGCAGTAAAGTTTTAACAGAAACAAATGATAAAGGTAAATTTATAATTTGTAAGATATGCGTATATATGATTCATATAATTTTATGCAATATTGTGTAATCAATTTAATATATAGTTATATTAAACAAATTTGTGTATATCTATTAACTATTTATTCTATTTTTAGATGTGCATGTAAAAAATAATATTACAAAAACAAATATTAAGACTGGATGCAATTCAAATTTAATTAAAGATAATGAAAAACCTTCCAATCTTAGTAACGATTCTAAAAAAGCAATTTTCAATTCATCAAAGTTACTAAGTACTACTGATAAAAATGGAAGGGATCATTTTAATAATAAACATAAAGCAAAAAATACTGCTAGCATAAAGAAACAGGAATTTGTAAAACAGCGTCATGTTTCAAGAAATGGAACGGAAAAGGAGGTGAAAAAGTCAAACTTAGTGAAAACAGATTTTGAAACAACTGATATGACATGTCAAAGTAAAAATTTAAACAAAGATAAAATTTTACAAAAACAAACAAAACAATTTTCATCAAAATTAAAAGGTCAAGAGTCTCTTAAAAAGAATCCATCTACGCCTAACTTTTTTGATGATAAAAATAAAACGGAGAAATTAACACATATATCAGGAAACCTCAACTCGCCATTAAATGAATCTGAAAGAAAAAATGATAAGATTGTTAATGAACACAATTTTCAAAGCGATCAAAAAGTAAATCGCAGTGATTTTAGAAAAAATACTACATTTGTTGCGCAATATAAAAATTCAACATTCTCAAAGTCAATGCAAAATGTTCCGAGAACAGGACAAGCTCCAATGTATGGAAGAAATTCATCATATGCATATAATAATCCAAAATTTAATAAGAATCGTAATGATACTGCTGAACATAAAGTTATGAAAAAAGAACTTACACCTACTAATATATTAATAAAATCAAATACAGGAACTGAAAAATCTGACACAAACAATTTGGAGAGTTGCACAATACAGAAGGAAGAAGTAATTCAACTGACAGATGTAAAATCAACAAATGTACATGAAGTAGATACATTATTATCTAACGATAAAAGTGATTCGAAGTCTATAAAAGTGGAGTCATACTTAATACAAAGTAAAGAAAATATGAATTTAAAGAATAAAGACCAAGGATCTATAATGTCAGAACAGTGTTGTGAAGAAACGAATGGTACCTCTAAAGTTGATATTAGCCAGCAAAATAGAGAAACGAATAAAGAAGATATCAAACCACTTAAACACTCATCCAATTTAGTCTCTGATAAGTGTGCTACAAATTCACAAATCAATGCGATGCATCAGTATTCGTTCAAACTGGAAAACGTACAACGCACGAATGATGTAAATCAATTGAAAAGTAGTCAAATTACTTGGAATCAATCATCTGACAACGCTATGCAGAAAGGTGCAACGATTATGAGTTTACAACAATCTATTCAAAATATGCATTTTAATACACAACAGACTTTTACTCAAACAGGAAATTTAAGAGGACAAATGTCGTCGTGGGAATCAGATAATAGCAAATTTTATGATCAACATTTTCCAGTTAATGATGCGATGCGGCTGTCGCAGATTCCAAATACTTTCAACGCACCACCTTATAGTAATACACAAATGTCACATGATGACAGTGTCACTGGTACGTCTACACTAGAAACTACGATGAATAGAGAAAATTCAAATGTTTTGTATAGATACGGTCCAAATGTACAGCAGAGACCTGTTATGGCTTCTGATTTTCCCGGCCATTCCGCGTCGTCGTGTCAGACTAACCAGTCTAGATGGAATTCCTCGATACAAGACAATTTTCACATTGAACATCCATACGTTGCAACGCAACCTACAATGATGCATATTTACAATCCTGCAACTTTTGGTCCAGATGACTTTAATAATACAATGGATTATGTATCTCATCCAGTAATTTACGCACCATCTCCATATATGCAAACATGGAATTCACAATTACAGTATTCAGTGCCCGTTATGTATAATTCCCCGTGCACGAATTATACGTTTCCTTCTCATAATCAGTCAAATAATTTTAACAGCTCTATGCATGACCAGCAACAGAAACATAATCCTTATATGCAAATGAATAATTACGCTAGAGATACATATAATGATACCAATACTTGCGCTGTACAAGCGAGAAATGCTGTCGATAATGTTCCGATGAAATCCAATTATTATTACAAGAAGTATCAAGATAATTGTCGAACAGTTGGTGACGTTCCTCAATATGTAGCACCAGTTTCGTATTCAAAATCACAACATGGTATGAATTTCATGCCTGCAACAGGCATAAATCAATGCCACACATCATATTGTCCAAATCAGAAATATTATAAGCAAAACATGACGAATTACATGAAAAATCCGAAAAGTCAGGTACAAGATTTTGTTTGTGATGATAATGCATCTGAAGACATTCCTCCAATAATATCTCCGAAAGAATTTGTAACAAACAATGTAAATTTTTCAAATCAAAGTGATCAATTTGCGACACGAGTATTTAAACCAGATTTTAAAACGAGATCAAACTCAGGATATCGTCCACCGCCCTCTCTACCAAGATATAATGGCAGTTTTCGCAAAAATACAACTTTTCAAGATTTTCCGAAAGACTATACATATCCTGTTAGTATTGGTCGCGGTACATATAAAACTAAAAAAATATAAAAATACATCTAGACCAAGAGTTTGAACAATAGTATAAAATATAGGTACATATACATTCATGCAAAAAAATTTATTTTAAAATAATTTACCTTTAATTTGAAATCTATTCTACCTGTTTATAAATCTCAGAGAGAGAATCAGTAGCAAAATTTTCCGAATTATTCAATGAGACTATAACTTTATTCAGATTCATAATTTACCATCTTTTTTTCTGTTTTTGATGTTTGTTGAAAGAATATGATTTTATATAACAAGCAGTTATAATTGATTGTATTAAGATAGAAAAAATTCCTATACATATATATTATACCAGATGTTAAGAAAACTATAAGTGTATTATTAAGTTTAGATTTCATATCATATTGTGATGTCGAACCCAAAATGATGCTCTCCTTGCATCTAAAGACTCGCTTTAACTCTTTATAGAGAGCTTGGTATACTATGTTTATAAATATATAAGTTCTGTTTAAATTTGTAAGTTTTCACAGATGGGTTACAATCGCAAGATATGTAAAAATTGTTAGATTTCGAAACATATCAATTGCGAGAAATGTTGTTCAACAAATATGTAGCACGTAAGAGAGATTTTCATATGTTTAATTTCTTATATAATTTTAAGATAAAATATTTCAGAAAAATATATTCTACTTGTACTTTATTTTTCTATCTTATTTTTGTGTTTAAACTGTATTGTTAATAAAGATGATATAGTTTATTTTTTCTGGACTGGTTTTATGAAATAAATAAAATACGTTTTGATATTTCGACATTGCTTAATTTATATTACATTGTTTATATCCCCTTAATAAATCTCTAATTTTTATGTTACTCTTGAAACAGTTTTTTAATAATACAATCAATTATAAATTTTTAGTATATCATGTGATGACAAGGCTGGAAATATATGTATATACACAAGATTTATAAAAAAAATTAATTAAATATTTATTTTACATACACGTCAGATAAAAGAAGCAATTAAAAATAATAAACATTTATTACTCCTTTTAACTTTATTATTATTAACATTTGTAATGAAGGAAGACAAGTTAGCTTGAACGTATAAGTCTCATTATATATGCTTGGTTAAGTATAATTGTCACAGTCAAAGTGTTAATCAATGTATACGTTTACGTACAGCAGACTACAATAAGTGTATACATTTATTACACTGAGTTAACATTTTGACTGTGACATAGTATATACAAATTAAATTGCATGATTTATTTTATACATGTATGTATATAATTCAGGGAATGGAAAGTTACTTTTTAAAAGTAACTAGTTACAGTTACAGTTATCGCTTTTTAAAAGTAACTCGTTACAGTTACCGTTACTTGAAAAATAACTTTTCGTTACTTTTCCGTTACTTTTTTAAAATCAATTTAAAAATGTACTTTTGCATTTTTTTTTTATATGTAATACTGCGACAAATATATAGTTTTATTTAAAAAAAAAAAAAACAATGTAGAATGGCTCAAATAATAAATTAAATAAAAGTAAAATGAGAAGAGTTACGAGCCAAAAATGAAACAGTTTATTTCCGATAAGAACGACGATGACAATGTAATTAAATGTATAAATATATATTAGAACAATACATAGATAAAACAAGATAAAAACAAACGACGTTTCGACACTTATTGTCATCGTCTTTTAAACTGTTTCGCTTTTTGGGTTCATAGCCCTTCTCATTTTACTATTATTTAATTTATTTTTTAATTTTTTTTAAACACAATTTTGTAAGTCTAAAACCTGTAAAATATGCAGCAAACTGAAATATTTGTATGTCCTATGTATTACATAGAAGATAGAAGTGTAAAATAATTACTGAATCATAACGGCCGAATGTCTAAGGGCTTTCAAGTCTTATTGATAAGCGCTATAGATAGCATGTATCCAATCGAACCGTGTTTAATCGTGTGCAAAGTAACGACAAAAGTAACTGTAAATTTCGTTACCGTTACCCAAAAAATGTAACTCGTTACCGTTACAGTTACCAAAAAAAGAAAGTAACGCAGTTACCAGTAAAGTTACCAAAAAAGTAACTTGTAACTGTAACTTCGTTACAAGTAACGAGTTACTTCCATTCCCTGGTATATATATATATATATATATCACAGCCATGTAGAGGCCCGTTCATCCGTTTCAGAAATGACCATATCATTCAGTGTCACGCCTTTGGGTTTTCCTAAAATTGCAATTAAATCGATTTCGTTTCTCGCTGTCAAGATTTGTTTGTCAGATAACGATTGTATTCTCATTAAAATGCCAGGATTGGGTCGTAGTATTATTAATTGGCAGTTGTTTTTTCTGAAGTCATTTATCGTCATATTAATACTCTAAAAATAATACATCAATATTAATATTTTAAGAACAAAATATATTTATAGATCAATCTTTAATATTGCATTGCATTATAATTAATCATATTCTCAAAGTGCGTTTTTCATTGGTATATTTTATAAATAATTGATTATTTCGAAACCTGTGCAGCGGTAAAGTCTATTTTGTCGATGTGTTCACAATCTAATACGACATTCATACCGGAATTCTTCGTTAGATACATTCTCAAATGATCTACAGCAGGGAATAAAATTCCAGTGGTAGGGCGAACTAAGAGGTAGTCTGTTGTTGAGATCTGCAAAGAGAACATTTTTAATTCTTCGTAATTCTTAACATAAAGAACTATTGTTATCTAAATCCAAAGACATACAGTTTCGTTTTCTTACGTTTCTATGTTCAATATTTATCGTTGGGCGTGCATTGAGATATATCAATATAGCCAGATCGAATATCGTACCTATTAAAATTCCCATCTCGATTCCGACAAATAAACAAGCAAGGAACGTAATAAATGCCGGTATTAAATCACGTTCTATAAAGAAAAATAATATTTCATTTGTGTTAACTTCATTAGTATATATTTTTAATTTAATGAATTATCACAATAAACAAAGTATTTCAATAGTGTGCCCTCCTCCCCACCAGTTTAACAATAGATTTAAACAAAACATTGTTGCATAGATTAATATTAACTGCGTCTGCAATGAAACTCAATGAAGTTTTACCAATGAAGTCTATCAATATCATCTAAAGTATAATTCTTCAGAAAATCTTAAAGATATCTTTAAGATATCGTTTTAACGCATGTTATCTAGATTAATTATTCACTCACTATTACACTTCCAAATTGGAAGTATTATATCAATTTCTACCATAAATATCACCGCGCTAATTATAACAGCGCTCAGTGTTGCCCTCGGGATGTAATAAAAATATGGTATCAAGAAACTTAGCGCAAGTATGACTAGAAGACCTGAAATTATTTATTATTTTTATTAATATTTTTCCTTTTTCTTTATTTGAAGAAATTTATGTGTTATTCTCTTTATACTAATAATTCTTAATTTATTTTAGTCTAATTGTTAATAATTAACCTGTGTAGAAGCCACCTAAAGGTGTCTTAACACCAGAAGCGTTATTCACTGCACTTCTCGAGAAAGATCCTGTAACAGGCATCGACTGAAAGAACGAACCAACCACGTTACATAGTCCGAGAGTCAGCATTTCCTGCGTGGCGTCTAAAGACTTACCTTGTGCTTTAAAAACAATGAGAGAAATCAAGAAAATTTATATATATATATATATAAAAACTTGATAGCATTATATGTACATAATGCGCACGTCTCGACTTAACATATCCGAGATGAATGAAGTCAAATATAAAATCGATAAACTCATTTGTATCATTAATGTGTATACATGCATATACGCGCAATTTTCCTGGTCGTTATCACCAGAACGCGTATATACATTGTATATGTATACGCGCATTCACATTGGGTTAATAATGCGCGAATAGACGGTCTGACATATGTTACGTGGTGACAAAACGAAAGAAAAGAAATTTTGCGAAGAATTCTTACTTCGTATATTATACAAACTAGTTAAAATTTTACTCTTTCGACAGATCTTTTATCTTTACTTATCAAATAAAATCGCGTTTTTGTGAAATAATCTTATATAATATTAGATATATGTATATGTATAAAAAATGTCATACAAAAAGCCTTTGCGATGGCGACGTTTCCAATAATAGAGATGAGTGGCACAATCAAGATGCCAAACTTTAAATTCTTCGTTATATCGATGAAACTCTCAGTTTGATTGCCAATTGTTCTCGAAAACGAAGGTGGTTCGACAATTGGGAGACCGGCGTCGATGTGACCCGTAAGGATATACGGTGCTCCGCCGTTCATTTCAAAAATATAAGACGTAACTGCGCAAAGGATCACCACGAGGGCATTCCTAGCTGTACCAATCGTCCAGAGGATTTTTTTTAACGTAGTACTAGCAACTTTTTTATCTTTCAAATACTGAAAAAAAATAAACCGATACGCATCTTATGATCGTAGAGTCTGTTTCCGCTTTAAAAAAGTTCTACCGCGTGTATACCTTCAGAACCAGTAAAATTAGGATACAACAGCATGATAAAATCAAATCTGGTATTTTCGTGTCAGCAACGTTATTTATGAACTCCACCAAAATTTCGACGAACCTTTCGCCGTGAATATTCAAGCCTAGCAAATTTTTTATTTGACTGCAAGCGATGATGACGCTCGCAGCTGATGTAAACCCAGACACCACCGGTATCGATATGAACTCGATTAAAAATCCTAAGCGTAGAATGCCAAGTAATATCGTGGTACATCCGGACAGAAAGCAAAGCAAGGCCGCATACTCGGGAATTCCACTGAAAAAAAATCATCAAACTTGGAATGTAAGTGCATTTTTATATTTTATACGGCCTTGACGCAAACGACATTTTCTCAAGAGACACGGCTTATGAAAAGTGCTTTTAACAATTCAATTACGTTACTATTCGAGTGATCTCATTTGATTAGCACTCTCTTTCACCACACGACCGGATGAAACTTTAAGCGAGAACATTGTTATGTCGATCATGCGTATAACGACGTCTTCAATACAAGCAAGATTTGCTGATTAAATATAACTTCCGGTCAATTGTCCTAAAATTTGTATGCTATTCTTAGATATTACTGTAAAATTTACATTTTGTATAAAGAAAATTATAGTAACACTACAAATCTGAAAACTACACATTTGTCTAAACAGTAGAAAAATTTATTATATAATTAAAAGACCAAAGCGAAAATTGATAATTTTTATAACTTCCTCTGCTATTTTATTATTATTTTTAGAAGCTTCAATAATGTACCTCGCGTATGTCCAAGTCAGTAAAGATATGATTGCTGTAGGACCGACATTAACTTCTCGACACGTGCCGAAAAAGATATAGACGAAACTTCCAGCGAACGCACTATAAAGTCCGTATTGCGGCTCCAAACCCGCTAAACCTGCATAAGCTATGGCCTGTAATCGCAAGTATCACGTTTTTTTAGTACCGAGTGAATAATAACGACAGACGTAATAACGTCAGACGATTAAACAGACATATATTATGTACCTGAGGTATCAAGGTTAATCCTACGGTGAGACCTGCAACCAGATCACCCAATGCATCCTTCATTTTATACTGCGGTAGCCATTTTAAAATAGGAATTCTTTTTTTAATCATTTTTTTGAAATTAGGATTGGCCATTGTTATTCACCAATTAGATCATTTGTTCTTTTAAACGTCCTAATAAGAGAATTGTAGCAAAGATAAGAAATCTGGAAAGGCGATGTCGATTGTCATTTTTCACTGGGTAGGTAGTACAAAATTACATGTCATAATGATAATGCATATCAAATGCATTATTATTGGAGCAAACAAATTATTATAAGTAAACGTTTAGCATATTTTTAAAAGATTCGATTTTTTTAGACTCTTATCTACATATTTCTTTTCTTGTTTTAAATCTTTAAAAACGAAATTTTTATTGAAAGGATATAATAATTAAGGTTTGCATATTTAATACTTTTCTTATTATTAATCGGATTTACGTACCTTAGTTTTTATTTATTTGAGATTGTGTTTAATTAGTTATAAATAAAAATTTAATTTTACCGAATAAATTAAAATTTGTAATATATTGTTATGTATTCTATATACGATAATATATACAAATATTCAATTTGTGCATTTGTATGCAAGCATATTAGCTGACATATCATCCGATAACAATCACGACTCACGTAACATTGTGTTTATATCTTCCGCTATATGTATAATTAATTGCGGGAATCCGTTGCGTTTGATCATATCGAATCGTTTAATGTGTCATGTGTTAATCACATCACAGATTTGTAACTCAAATATAGAAATTTAAATATGTGGAACTTTTTGATTAACATTTTTTCACAGACTCTTTGTGCACAAATACTTTACTATGATAATAAGACAGCCAGAATACGATATATATAGCTTATCATGCAGTTACGCAAAAGTCACGAAGCAATATTTTACACAACAATTATATACAATTACCATGAAAGTCCAGAAATATAGCTTCTCTTATCAGTAGCCAACTTTATTGAAAGAGAATACGAAGAGAGTACCACTGTCTTTTGAGAGTAAAATTAATGGACATTTTTTTCCGAAAAATTTTTCTTGATCACGAATATATATAGTTAATTCATATATTATTACAATTGCTATCTGTTTGTCACACCAGTTCTTATACAACCGTTTTTCACACACTGTGAGCACCTTTTTGCCTCTTCGCTTGGTCGCAGTCCACACGGCGTTCACGTGTTAACGCATGCGTTTACTCGATCCTTCCTCTGTATGACATCATCACTGGAGATCAGGCTTAGATCTCCAGTTTATTTAACAAATTGAAGGTCTTTTTCATAGTACCTTATTATCTAACGAGTCTTTTGGATCTGATGATAAATCTCAAAGCAACGTCCTTTAATTCCATATCTTTTGATATATACCACACTCGCTGTTTTCAGTATCAAATACACCCGTAACAAGTATCCATAACATGCATCTATATATTTCGTGAAATATTATATTATATAGAAATTATTTTTTATATATTTGTTTTTATATTATATGAATTCCAATATATCTAAACAATTGCTAACAATAAAGTATAACTATAATAAAGTATAAAGTAAAATATATATTGAAGGATTATTATTATTATATATATAGATAAGAGTGGTTGAAATACATTAGCGTACCTATTTACGTAACATCGTAGTTTTTATATTTTCAGATAGACTTTGAATATAATTAACAATATAGTAGTATGGAACGCCTTGTGAGGGGATGCCGCGAAGGTCTGTGGAAGAGCAGTTGAAATTGATAAATTTCTTCGCTCTCATTTTTATCCTACATATAAATTTTTAATTCATAATCTGTATAAAGTGTTTCTCTGGATGTCTAGATTTAAGGTGATGCTGAACCCGCCTCTGTATTATCTATTAAAAACTAGCGTTTTTAACATTTTCGTTCCTGTCTAATTTCTTCATAATAGTTTTGCAGAATAAAAATTCCTTTTCCACGATTTATAAATATTCATGCTAATGTATCTGCCCTTGGTCTATATTGTGTCCAAAGCTAAAAAAAATATGAAATTACAGATTTCTTACCTATTTTTATCTTCAGCGTTGGTCGCCATACTGAGGTTAAATGGATAAAGAAATCTATGATTTCACATACTTTTTCCAGCTTTGGGTACAAAATACACCAGGGGTAGCCTAAATATTTAAATCGTGGAGAAGAAAATTTTATTCTGCGGAACTATTACGAAGAAATTAGACAGAAACGAAAACATCAAAAACGTTAGTTTTATCATATAGATAATACAGGTGGCTCCAGCATCTCTTAAGACTGGGTGCGCGTATGGCTGACACTACATGTGAAACAATTATTGCTGCAAATATTTATAAACATTCATCCTTAGAACAGGCCAAGATTCATCTAACCCTAAGAATTGTGGAGTCAAAAGTCGATTGATTGATCGATTGAATTGGCAATATACATGGATAAAGTAAAAGAAATTTCCGCAAATTTTATCGCTTAAGTATAATTTGAATAATCCGGAAAAATCTTTTTATGATGTAAAAATATGTCTGTACGTACGTGTGCGGACGTGTCTGTGTGTATATGTGTGTGTGTATAAATATAAATGAAGTAGTCTTGTACGAAATATTTCTTGTTTGGTACGTACCGTCGGTTTTTTAGTTCAAACTTGTCGTTTAAATTCGTGACTTGTAAATATGTACTGGAATGTAATGTACATAATTCATGAGGACGATGTATAGCATACTGCCACAACATATGGAACACATTAAAACACATTTCGACAAATGCACTAATACAAAAATATTTAAATAACACTTTTTCTTTAGTTCTTATATATATAAAATTTACAGAAAGTCATGCGTTAAAAATCTCATTATATACATGTTTCTTATATTTTAAATGTCTTTCTGCATTGCATTAAAAAAAAAACTAATATGAGACCAAAAAAATTTTGTTTTAACGATTTATTAGATTATCTCTCATTACAATAGCAATAAAAATTAAATAAAACTTATTAATAATAAACGTTAAATTAAAATTGTTTGACAGTACATTAAATATATATTAAAAGAATACACAAAAGTTTCAAATAATAATTATACATGAATGCATATTATACGTTTAAAAAGCAATATTTAATGCATCTTCATACATTGTTTATGACGTTAGAAATATACGCTATGATTTCTACATCGTAATTTTCTATCCAGTTATACCGCCGGGGAATTACCTGTAAAAACGTGTCCTTGTCTGTTTCCACCAATTATAGCAATTCGACTTGTTACCTGTAATGTTTAGAGAATTCATAGTTCATTGCGCACGAATACGTAACTTATGTACTACATATATGACCATGATGATCATATGATAAACTAAGTTTAATTTTAACAAGTGTCCTTGTCATTTTTATATTACGTCATGCGGATGTGAAAAAGAAAAAATCAATTATTAATGAATATGTCACATAAAAACATATTTGTATTACAAATTACTTTTTTAGAATATATTTATGTAAAATAGAACACAATGATGACAGAACGTTATAATATAAGTCATAATATATGAATTTCCATTAAAAATATGTAAAACATAAAGAGAGGAGCATACTATATGATAATCTTCCTCTGAAGATTAGTATAACATAACATGTAAAAGCTTGAAAAGTTTTTCTTTTAATGTAATATAAATTAGCTACGAGTATATAATTAATTAAATACACAACATATTATTAAACAATATATATGTATGTATAAGTACATTGGGCAAATTTTTTATAATAATGGCTCGCGGTTTATAATAATCACACTGATTGATGTTATCTACCATTGATACATATTTTTTTATAATATAAATTATTATAACTATAATATAATATAAAAATAAAATACACTTATTTAATTTACATTAATTTCTTTTCACATAACACAATTGTAGCTATGAAATAGAAAAAATTTATTTGACAAAAGAAATAACATCAGCTAATAAATATATGAATATCGTAGATTACTATTTGTCCAGCTGTCGATAAAATTATAAAGCATTTTTCATTATTTATTTACACTTCTAATATTAATAGCGTTTTCTCTTGGCTGCACCAGTGTAGGGTGATTGCATCTTTTTTCCTTTTCCCTTCTCCTGTAGAGAAAAGGAAAAAAGATGAACTATAGTGTAAAAGTTCAGCTGAGTGTTGCACTGGTGCAGCCAAGAGAAAACGCTATAACTCTAAAATTATTAAAATTATTTTTTATTTACAAAATATTCCTTTATCACTTTTAATTAATTTTGAATATGTATAAGATAATTAAAAGTAAAGATCGGTATACTTTGTGTGTATTTTATTATACCTCTTGTTTTAAAATGTTTGATTTCAATTTTAATAAAATATCTGTAAAAGATTCATCTATATATGACAAAATGTTTTAAATAAACGTTTTATAACATTTAATGTATTTAATAATTATGTATTTATACATTTTTTGAAAATATTATATCTTTCAATATACTTTTATTATTATTTTTGCAAAATTAACAATTTTTCTTTAAACAAAAGTTAAAGAATATACAACTCGAATCATATAACGGCGTGTTAAATAAAAAAAATGCAAAGATATATAAACGTATAGTTAATTGGCCGTCGCTAATAGCAAGGCAATCATATCCGTCAATTGTCAGTAGCGGGAAGTAACATTTTATTTCATGTAATTGAATATCATATAGTTGAGCAATGTAAAATTGTATAATCAAATAACAAGAAATCGGAAAGCCAAAACATGTAATAATATATTAATTTTGTTGAATTTTGTATATTTTTTAATATACTTTATGTCTTGACTCTTTTTACGCATGATTGTTTAACGGATTTTTATATGTCCTCTATAATCTTTGTATTGATATTCTTAATATAATAAATTATTTTTTTTATTATCACATTTTTTCATAATCGGCTTATATTATATTAGCTTTCGTCCGTTAGTATTTATCATTGAGTCTACATCTTATGTAACTTCTTATTTGACAGTATCATAAATCGAGAAATTACAATATCATGAATATATAAATTGACGTTAATATGTTAATAACTAGAGTTTGCTATTATATAGTACGTTCAAATGAGAACACGTTTACACTAATATAATTAGCATATCCGTTTATTAGAAACGTTTTTCCGAAAATATGTATTTTAAGTAGAGTTGGTTGTTATACGTTTAAATACAAAAATACATTTACACGTATATTTAGCACATCTATTTATAAAAAACGTTTTTCAAATATTTTTATGTTTTTTTTTTTATAAACATTTATCTCTTTATTGAGGAGTCTTCTTATAGCGTATTGGATTGAAAAAAACGAAAAAATCGTTTAGGGTGTAAAAAAGACGTTTGAGTAAAAGTGGGGAAAAAATATATATAAAATAACATTAAACAGTGTATTCGGAAAAACGTTTGTGTGTGTGTGTGTGTGTGTGTGTGTGTGTGTGCGTGCGCGCGCGCACGTGATAAGTGGATATGCTATAATTATATATGTAAACGTTTATCTACAAGAGTAAACGTTTTTCTAAATGTCTGAATGAATATAAACAGATAAACATGCTTTCACATATTTTTGAAAAACGGAATAAAATAACTGTATTAATTTAAATCAATTTATAAGTACGAAAATAGAATGTATATGTTATCGTTTTACGTCGACTGTTTAATTTTGTTTCTTAATACTTTTAATGCAGAATCATACTAAGGACATCTAGTTACATAAAAATATAAAACTTATAAAAAGCTATTAATGATATATTTCATAAAAATACATTTTATAAAAGATCGTTGCATCCTATTTTTTCCTTGTAAAATATATTTTTACTTGAAATAAATTTACTTGTTTAAAATTAAAATTTAATCCTTACCTGCATATAATTAAAGCATCTTGACACATTTTTCTTATCTGGTATACCGAATTAATATTTGTTCCTTCATTGGTCCCACGCAGTCAGAGAAAGAGGAAAAGAACTGCGCTTGCCAGTCGCGTCATTGCAGCGGAATTTCGGCTGTAAGTATTCGTAACGGAACAACTGGCTCCTTAACAGCGGTTTGAAGCGCCATGCACTGTACGAAAAAAAAGGGTAGTATAAACGTCGTAATGTTTTATCAAACCCTGATCATCAGACCCGGTTCTCTGAACCTTCCCGCAACTTCCTACTTCTTTTCGTAAACAAGAAACTTGCTGGATTCGTACTTGAGAGTTCTTCACCCTCTTCACATGTTCATCCATCATCCCGTACTTTCGTGACTCACCGACGACCATCTCTTCGCATCTTGAGTTTGTAGAAGTCTTAATTCGACACGCGTCACCTGCTATCCTTAAAAGCGTTTCGTAAATGTGTTACGTAAACATTTATAATAATATTTTGAGCATAGCCAACATATATTACTTATTGATAAGAATGATAAGTTTATTAAATGTTTTGATATATACGAGTATGAAATATGCAATAAATAAAAAAATATTTGTATGCTTTAATTCACTCCCTTCAATAGCGATTATAGATATAATATCTCCTATTTATTCTAATTTAATTAATTATAAATTTTAGATAAAAAAAGACAATAATGTTCAATTTAATTTTTAAATTTTACATTTAATGTATTGTAACAAAATATTATATATGATATTTGAAACATATATAATATTAGGATTTATTTAATTTTGATACATTTATGATTGATATTTATTATTTCTAAGTTATGGCGGTGATTAACGTCACGTTTACAAGTTTCGAGGAAGTTCGTGATTCCTGATTGGATAACGATATCTTGTCACATTTACGCGAGTAAGTGATAATCTATATTCATACAAGTTACTATCGATTGATCTTAATATGCAAGAAATAACCGATGAGGGATCAAGTTCAAGATCAAGATCAATGATCTTGCGAGAAGGTCGTCCATTAAGAAGAAGAGAGAAGTATTTTCACGGTGAGTAACTCCTGGGCCAAGGACTTCGGTCTACAACTGACTTTCGCGCTTCATGCAACGATTTACATCCAACGCGACCTCTCATCAATCTGCAAATTAAATTATTTTCTCTTCCATTTAAAATTACTTCTTTACTGGCGATTGAAGTATTCCGAATTAATACAATGCCTATATTATACAATCAGATTTAATCATTGTTTTTGTGCAAAATATTTTACAACATTTTCAGTGATAATTTAACATTCGATGTGAAATATTGCATGTATGATATATACGTAAATAAATCAAATTATAAATAAATATTGTCTTCTAGTAATGTGATTTTGCTTTATTGTGTATTTAAAATTTAATTCATCAGATCTCAAAAAACTTTATAAAAATGTTAAAAGAATTATCTTTTTCAAGAAATCGCGAGATGTCTTATTATATTATGTATCGGTTAAACGAAGAAGTGGTCGAACTCAACGGTTAACTGTGTCTCGACCGTAAAATCGCCCACGTGACCGAAATCGGATTCGCGAATTATATGAATTTCCTTATTGCCTCCGGCTATATACTTTTATAAGTGAACCTCGTGACTGTATTTGTGCACAAATTACACGTGAACAGCATTTTGTACAGGTAGTACTTATAGTAATTATAAAAGTACCCATTTCATTAAAAACACGTATTCAAACTCTATAAAATGTATTGTACGATTATTATTTGTATAAAAATATGACTTATTTAAAAAAATTATTTAATTTGTGTAATCCTTTTGTTAAATATTTAAGTATTATATTTAAATATTTAAGTATTAAAACTAAATAATGAAGTATAAATGGTTCAATAACATAAACTATTAATTAAATCTTAGATTAATAATTTAATTTTTTAAATTAATTATTTTCCTTTATAATAATACAATAATTGTTAAAACCTTCAGTCGTAATTGTAGAGATAATAATATAAATAAATATTATATATATACGTACGTAGCATATTGTAAGCGAATAAAGCTTGAGAAACCTTCGAAGAAAAAATCCTCAAGTAACACTTCTTGCTCGGAAATCCCCAAAAAGCAGGCCATACTTTGCAACTAATTTGCACATCACTTGCATTTGTTTATTGACGAGTCAGCACAGGTATCACATCGATGTACCGTTAAAGATTCTTCCATTAAGCCATTGAATAATATGATCGTAAAGAAAATTTACATAGCAACAACATTTAAAAATGCAGTATAGACGCGTATAAATGCATTATCACCTAAAAAGCAACGGTGATTCTGTATATTACTTAAAAATTCATTGTATGTTTCAATCAATCAAATTTCCTTCAACACTTAGATATTACAAATAAATGTAATTATTTGTATTTATTATAGTAACACATAATATTAAATCACCTTTTGTAAGAATAGAAACGAAGAGAACCGAGAAAGAAAATTTTTATATAAATCTAAAATTGTTAATGTATATTATTATATTGAAATACGAGATTATCTATAATACATGATATTTTCTGCACTTAAATCATTTAGAAGAAATGATAGTTTGGTTTATGGCGAGAGAAATTCAGATGTACTATAATTATTACGAAAATAGATATAGTAGAGCATGGCTTCGAGCGATAATCTGCACTTGAATGATGATAAATCTATCTATTAATCATACCGATAATTAAACCTCACTTAATCGGTCTATGAATGTCAAAATGTAATATTGTGATATTAATCATCTTTAGATCGATTATTTTTTTATTAAAAAATAACTTTACCTCATTGCATCTTCAATGAAAAACACTGTAATTACTTACACTCGTCGTCGCAAATATAAATCGGCGTGATTCCATTATGATATCCGAAAATGATAATGTCTTCTTTAAATTCTTTTGTAAAGGTGCCGTTATACTTTGTTCGTTAAATAATTTCGAAGGAAACGTCCGGTCGGAATATTCGCATCATTGAATAAGTTTGACGTAACAAAAATAAAAAAAGTGTCTGCACGCATATTTTCTCGATTCTTGTTGAACACATACAATAAACAAGATGACCTTTTATTTGTTGTCTTCTTATTATTATGTTATTATATACATAATTTATTTGTTATATTATTATGATATTGTTTATTATATCAATTGCTATGTAAAAAACTTATAACAAAAAATCGTGTACATTGAGGTCTACGACACATAATACATATTTAAAAGATTAATAAAAAGGAAGATGTACCGAAATTCCAGAAAAAATATATGCAAAGCGGTTATTGAGATATATCTCGATTAATTTGATCCGTGAAATACTAACGTACCGCTGTCAGCAGCAATAATGATTTTGCTCACGAAATCCAGTCTTTTTCTGGGTCAAGGATGAGCGTGTCTTTAATAATATCGCCATACACGTACACAAACTGGATTTGATAAGGTGGTATAAATGTGTATCGACGTCGTTCTGAAAATATCGTTTCATCCTAAAGACATATTACTATAGAAATATTTGGTGCTAAAATTACTTATGTATCATATTCATATATTAATATATAAATACGCTTTTTAAATAAAGTATTATTACGTCATAATGGCAGGTCGATATAATTATAGTTATTGAATTTTATGGGTTGTCTGTTAGGTACAGTTGTCTCACATTTCACTACCATTTCTGAACGTCTCACCTGCCGCAGCTTATTCTAATATATCTTACTTACAACAAAAATAAAGATTTCCAGTGACCATAAATGTCAAGAGTTTCTCAAGAAAACAATTCGGACTATTAGAAAAAAAAAAAGTCGTACCGTACGCGGTCCTTACCGATAATCCTCTTGAAGAGACGGTCGTAAGACATAAGTGCGATGAACAGAATTTTATAGACAGTTAATGATAGCCGACACGAAGCTATGATTCAGTTTCGTCCTTGGATTCGATGGATCGAACGAGAAGCCGAACAAAGGATGCGGGAAATGGTACGAAGATGATTCTGAGGAAGCGCAGAAAACCTGGGAGAGCAAGAACAATACCGAGACAAACGACCTTGTATGATTATCGGTTTTAGTTGTAATCGGTTGTAAAGAAAAAAACCGGCAAGGGCAAAATGATTGTGAACGTCGAAAAGCGACTGGAAGATGGGTTCGTGGTCAAGTTCGGTAATTTACAATAACAATAGCTAAGCTTTATCGAAAAATCGGTTGACGGTTACAAACTGAAACTTAGGTGTGGATTTATGTCGATATGTAGTACATAAGTGATACTCTTAAAACTTTAGATCAGTATTGAGAATAGAAAAAGATGGGCGGACTACTGCGTTGCCGATTCCGTTGGGCTATCGAGAAAAAATGTCGAGAATGCTGAATGAATCTTTCAAGCAGGACGCTTCGTTGTGCGCGGAATAAATGAACAGAGCAGCGTCATCCTCTGGAATCGATCAGTGACACTTTTACGGTTGATTCCACGACCGCTATAAGAATCAACTATAGTTGCTGTTTTTGCCTTGTGTGGGTAGATAGATTTTTTCTTTTTGCAAGATCCGTTAGAAGTACGAGACTTTCTTATCTAAATTTTCCAACGGTACTTGAGCGGGAAAACGCTTTTCCTCTACGCATTACAATAACGTCGCGGTATAAACACATTGAAATAATTCAAATAAATAATACAAAACAAATATGTGACAATTTAAAGTAATATTTTTAAATATTTTACAATATATATATTATAGAATTTTAGAAAAATTATCTCGAAATAACGTACAAAAGTGCGGCACACGGTCTGTTTATTTTCTCTCTTCTCTGAAATGATAGTTCATAGTAGCGTATTAATTAGAAATTCGGATACGATGTTTACAATACGATATGCAAATTAAAAAATGTTTGCGTATAAATTACACTATTAATGTAAAATTTAACCTATAAAAATATTAATTTCTGATCTTGATAATATCATTTCAAAAGTTGTATAAAATACTTAGCAGAACCATAAACTTTTGTAAATAGTACAAAATACAAATACTAATTGTATAACATGATCACATCTAAAAATTCAGTAAAACAGTACCTTGCAGAGTTATGCTTTATTAATTTTAATATTTTTTATCAAAATTCCTAAAAATAATATGACGTTACTTAGCAATTTTTTTTTTCAAATCTTCGCAATTATCTTATCAAGATATACGTCTCGACTTGATCCTTGCCTTTCTCTTTGATGAATCTAGTAATTACCTATTGTATTTTTTATCTCGAATAGACCTTTCGCTGTATAATTATACACATATTAAAAGCAAGTTACATCTGCTAGTTCTTTCGTCAATGCCGCATCAGGGACCCACGGAATAGCCCTTTTTCGCTCACGGCTCTTTTCAAATTGATCTCCTCTCGAAGATGATCGATATCGTGTTAAATAGCGGTAAACCAGACATGGGCAACACTTTAAACGGGATGAGTTATATTATTGCCACCGTATATATCCACGGTGTGGTCTTGTCGAAAATACTGATTAGCGGTCCGTTGTCCCAAAAGTATTATAATGCTCGATGCCTCGCTATCATTTACATATTTTACGTAGGATCATTAAGGTGACAAATTAGCGTACCTCGTAAACATGTTTGCTGCTAAATCTGTCTGAAAACTTAATTTATTAAAGTAAGAAATAAACAAAGTATCAAATCTTTTCAGTATCGGATTTTCAATATAACAATTGATAACAATCACGATAACTGATGACACAATGCTTATAATTCCGAAAAGAACGATATTGCTAAAATATCTAAAAATTATGTGAATATAATTTTGTTAGATAATCGGAATAATTATGTAGCACTCCTCCCAAACTGACTATTAGAATATCAAAACTTTGCGGCATTACTTGAGCATCCTACATAATTATTTTGTATAATTATTTTGATGATCCAACAAAATTATTTTCGGATTTATCTTCGGATAAATTCTGAAATATTTCAGCGAAATTGTTCTTTCCACTTGAGAGTCACGAAATAGAATTTGTATTCTTTGATAAGCTTTAATATAACAACTTTTAAATCTTAATCGACATACGAGCGATTGAACCGTTATTATTTGTATTTATTTTTATTCTGCTTTTACTTTGTAAATATGTAAATTACCACGACCATCGTACTGGAGATGACCTGATTACAGGTTGAAACGTTTGTGAAAAATACGTAAAATTAGATTTACGTGATTTCATTTGAATTATCAACACAAAATTTAGTTTAGCTAATTGTCTTATTTTTAACTTATTAATTCATTTTTTATCGTGGATAATCTTTTACATAATTATTTAATCTTTTCTATACCATGTCGCGCAATCAATAAACATTCAAATTGCAACTAACTTCGATGTGTATTTTTTAAATATAATACAAAGAATAAAAGAACATATGGTCGATGTATAATTACTTGACAGGTGATAGATTTTTCTAATAAGGGCTTGGGCTCTCAGAGATTAGAGAGATGTGTTTTCTCGTTCCTTTCGCCACGGCAATAAATAATCATCGTCCTAATGAATTCGTGTGGTCCATAACTACCGGTCCGCCCGAGCATCACACTCTTCGTTTTTTCGCGGTACCGAGAAACACTTTTCGTATCACATGCATCAGAGTAATGTGTTACGCTTTCGTACAACGCAAGTCGAACAACGTGTCGTTACTTGCGCGCGCGTAAAAAGCAACCCGGAGAATCAACACCAAAATTCTCGGTGCTCTTTTTGTCGGACAAAACCGGCGCGGCACGGCGGCGGTCGGCGGTTTTCTCAACACCGACGTTAATTACCTTTGCGTTGCGCATGGCGTACGTGCGAGGGAACCTGAATTACGGGGTCTCTGAACGCAAAAACTCGTGCGTCGGAGGTACCCTACGTACGGATCGCGCGAGAGAAAGAGAGGAGGAGAAGAAAAGCGCGCGAAGGGACGCAAAGAGGCGCGCCGGTTATTTATAAGCCGCTAAGGTACCCGGTATACCGAAGCCTTCCAACCACGGCCGCTGCTCTCCGCTTCTCTTTCTTCTTCCTTTTTTTTCGTTCGTGACATCGATGTTCGGCTAAAAAACCGCGAAAGAAGCGGAATGATCTTTATGACGCTTCGTCGTTGCGTGTATGTAATACGATGTATCTCTTATTACGCACATCGACCTTTTTTTTCATCACTCTCGCCAATTTCGTCTGATTGCTCTACCAAAGAAAATTTGCTATTACAAGTATCCTTTTTTGATTTAAAATGTTTGATATATATAGGTATATAACGATAAATAAATAAAAAACAAACATAATCGATACGTATTACATTCCATTTAAATTCGATGAATCGCTCCATTATATTCGACTTTTGCGATATGTTTTTCAATGAACTTTTAACTTTTTTTATGAGCAGATTTTACATTGATTTTTCTTTAATCTTTGCAGATCGAGTTTCTTTGCATTGTATATGAGAAATGGGAGTAAATAAACTGCAAGTTATCACATTTAACACAATAGGGGTGTACAAATTAAATTTGCAAAATGAAGAATTATATTAAGAGCTCGTGCAGTATATATACTTAATTTCAAATGTGTGTGTCTGTCTGTATGTGTATGCTTAATAACTGTATATCATATAGAAATATATAAGACGAGCATGCGAAAATACTTGGAATATTAAAGGTAGCTTGAGATCTCCGTAACTCATAAATCATCGGCCTCTACTTGTACCTATGTATTCGCATGTCGACAGGATAGTCAATCTTTTAAATACATATGTGGTGCGTGTCTGACTAAACCCTTTTGGTCTTCTTAATGACTAGCATCATTGTATACTTAAATCACTGCCTTCGAACTTAACGATTACACAGTCGTCGAGTAATGTAAACGGTAATTGAGCATTGATAAATTATCGAATCGACACGTTATCAGTAATTATAAAGGCAGATAAGGTTCATTCATAAAGTAATTGAGAGCATTGTACTTAATGATGCGGCTTTTATTCGCCAAATAAATTTTAATAAATAGTTTTTAATTTAGAATTTTTAACCAAGTAAAGAGAAATTTGTTCTCAAGTCGAGTACTGCGCAAGCGCGGAAAGAAAAGCAATATAAACGAGAAGTAGCAATGAAGGTATCACCGTTCGCAATGTTCGCATCATATTATACTTAGTTGGCATTAGTATATACGCTAAAAATAAAAGACTTGCGGTGACAGGTGAATTGCGTGCTTGTCTTCATGAACGAATAAATCATGGATGAGCCTGGACTTCCGCGCTTTATTCCACGGCTCGTTAATTCAGAATCCTTCTTGTAGAATGGTTTCTTTCTTCGGGAACCCTGCAACGAGACGAAGATCATGCATGTCCCAACCCACGATCCATAGCCTCGGGATTTTTCCTCAGAACATTTATGGCGAACGTACCTTGAAGTACGATCTATTGTACTCCCTTTCAGTACATACGTTTAGTTCGTACATGTACAAGTGCAGTTTGGCCCTACATAATGTTTCAGAAGAAGGTATCAAGTTTTTAAAAAAGTATGTGCAGCAAAATACAAATATTGCATTAAATAAATATTATGGTAATTATAATTACATACAATATTTTATAAATAAAATATGCAAAAAATATGATTTTCACGTAAAATATTTTATGTCGCTTTACAAAGCAGATTTGAAAAAAATTTATGCAGATCCTGTGAACAAACAAAATTTGAATGATTTTAAATAGAAACATTTGAGTTTTAAAATAGTTTGAACAAAACCAATAATCATATGGATTTTTAAGATTAATTGTTCAAATAGTTTCGATATAAAAAGAATAAAATTAAAAAAACGTAAATTATCGTTTGTTCTCATAATATATTATTCAATTTTATTTTATCAATGTATTCAAATTCAGTTTGAACAGAGAGAGAGAGTTAAATTATCAAAATTTAAATTATTAAAAAGTCTGAATATCAATACAAATTTATTTCGTACAGTCGACGTCTAAAAACTAGCAATGGCAATAACAAAATAAATATTAAAGAGAATTCTAAATAGAGATGACAAAAGAAATCAACCGAAAGAAATCCAGACTGCAGGGACAACACTGAAGAATCTGCGGAAGCTGCGACAACCGGCAAGTTCAACGTTGCTGCTGCTGCTGCTGCTAGTTGTCCTCGAGAACCTTTGTATGGGA